CCCATTCCAGTTAAAAGTTGTGGCTTCTCTACTGGAGCCTGCTTACTTCCCAAGTTAGGAAAGACGATACTATGTGGAGTATCATAACAAGGATGCTTCTGGTTGTAATGCTTTTCTAACGCCCTTCTTGTTGTCATGTGTCCCGCGCATAATTGGCAATTTGTAAAGTAGATTTCTGCCATAGTGAGCACCGTTTTCGCGTCCTGCCATTCACGCTCTTGGAGCGGAAGAACCAACTTTCCGGCATGAGTTTCAAACGCGTATGTTTCAAACCGGAGATTCATTATATGAAAGCCACGACAAGGGATACGTGTATTCAAGCCGGCGGTAGATAATGAGATTTACCATTATTTCCAGGTCACTACCCAGATCTAAATAGTGATTCTCTTTCGCAGTCAAGTTTCCACAGCAATTTAGCGATCTCCGTCTCAAGTTATAACGTGTTCTTCAAAAAGAGCACAAAAGCAGCATTTTTCTCCAGTTAAGTTGACTTAATGAAATACCTGAATAAAGAGGAGTCACTTTCCGAGTGTTTAGCGACTTTGCGTTGCGTTCGACTTCGAGTTATTTGTGCGTTGCCGATTTCTTTAAGAAGACGAAAGCGACGAGCAGGAGAGGCTAATTCACAAAGAGCAAATAAAGAAGCAAAACCAAAGACTAAAAGATAGAAAGAAAAGAGGTAAACTAGGATCGCAGATCGCCGCAGGCGAATAAATACAGAGGCAGAGGTCCTTAATCAGGAGCACGTCGATGTAGGAGAACTCGTTGAGAGGGGGACAACATGAACAAGTGTCGCTAGTGACATTTTTAGTCTGGGAATTATGGCGAATAATATTTACAAAAATAAAAGATGGAAGCCTTATCCTTAATTCTTCAGAATGCAGTGTACCTCAATCCAGCCAAGAGGCCAGTTTTAGAAAATATATATATAATTCCAGTTTAGGAATAGCTGAACCTTTTACTGCGTGAAAAAATTTCAAATTAACTTTTTTTTCGCCACATTGACCCTCTCGCAGGTTAATTTGTAGCATCTTTCAGCTGGCTTTATGTAACTGTTGAATGTGGAAGCAGGAACCACGAAATAAAACGCTCTGCTAAGTGTCAAAGTTACTGTTTTGCTACTCTAATAAGAACAGCAACTATCGCGCGCTGTATCATCGATCGATTGATTAATGGCTTTGAGAACTCCTGTGTTCGTACTAGCTAATAATTCTCTCATGGATTCGTACTTATAATTCTTACTTTTTCTCAAAGTTTTCTTTACTAAAAGTGCTCCTGCTCGGCTCAACATAAAAGAAACGACGCACACTTCTATACGGGCGCCTGTTTCGTAATTTTTGTTTACGTTGAGAAAATGCATTTTCTACATTTTGTGATGCGCAGAGCGCACTCGATAGTTACCTCGATCGTAATGTTGTCTAGACTGACGTGTCAAATTAAATCTGTTGATAGATAGCCATGTGCCGAACCTCACTTCTCAACACCTTTCTCGTGAAAATCCTTCATTAAATTTGTGCCCCGCAGAGATGCCAAGTGAAGAAAAATTAGACCCCCTCTTGACTTTGCGCTATGATTGCGCAAAATCGGTAGGGGTCAAGAAATTCAAAGTCGTATAAAGCTCGTCATGATTAGATAAGTCAACAAAACATACCAAAACTCTCCCGATTTCCTCTGTCTCCTTTTCGTTTTTGGAGGTACTCACAGAACTAGGCAACTTACGCTCTACAACGGGAAATCAGTCGACTGACATTCAAGCTTATCGATAATGCCTCGTCATACGAAAGAAACCCGATTCGGAGGTCCAATAATCGGTTAATTGTTCCTCAGAAGCTTTCCGCGGAAATTGTGGCCATGCATTTTTGCAAACTGCCTGTAAAACTAAAGCAATCATTTTTTCGTATTCTTAGCTTTGCTGAAAGAGCACATGCATTTTAGGGAGGACAAGGAAATCTTCCCGATGTTCTAGTAGAAATGTTGCACCACAATGCTATCACGAGTACACGAGCAAGAAGCTCGTCGATACTTTGATTTCGTCCCTTAATAGAAAAATTTTTTTTTTATTTTGTTCTAGATGTTGAAATTTACTGTCGTAGCAGAGCCTCCGTTGCATGCTCTCAGGCTACCTGTCTTTACATAATCTAATTCGATGTGCCTTTTTTCTTGTATTATTCTGCTTTCCTTAGAGCTGAGGCTACCTTGCAACACTCCATGCCTTTTGTTGGCTCGTACAGACCGCATTTTTGCTTTGGATTTCGATAATAACGCGAATTTTTCGGTCATTTCAAATTTAACGTACGCTGTAGCGGTAGACTACCATTACAACCTGGGTTACATGTTTTGGAGCGATNTACTTTGAAAACCGAGTAAGTGCACCTTTTTGAGGAATTCTTAAAGAGAAGCATTCATCGCGTGTGGGGTAATTTCTGGGGCTGTTTTCTCTTCAGATTGATGTTTTGGACTGACTGGAAAGGACCTCCAAAAATCGAGAGATCGTCTTTAAATGGAACTTGGCGTGTTTCTATAGTAACCTCCAATCTCTCATGGCCAAGTGGTATTGCTCTTGATAGACGAAACCAGCTTCTTTACTGGGTCGATGAGAAGATGTATATCATAGAATCTGTTGATTATGACGGCAATAACAGAAAGTTTTTGTTTCGGCAACGCAACTTTTTTGGGATTACATTTACCTCATCTTATTTATTTGTCACTGAGTGGGGTAGGGATGGTGTTTACAAGGTAGATGCTTCTAATGGGACACTGATGGGTTTTCTCAAATTCAGCTCAAGAGGAACAAGAGGAGTAGTCGCATATGACAACAAAATAAACGCAACAGGTTTGGCTTATGGTTCTGTAAGTTACTTTGACCGATTCGAAATAGAGACTGGCTGGGGGACCATCTGATGCATGCTAACAGAGTTTAAACAGAGACTTAAATTTAGATGAGGAAGAGGGTCCAAAGCTAACTTTTCCTTACATCTACTGTTCTTGTTAGAAGAGGAATGTGTCGGCAGCGTTTTTAAACAAGTTTTTAAACGCGATTTCTGACACAAAAATTATAACAATTCTTGCGTTGAGTCCAACTGACATCTATGATTTTAGAATTTTTATTATGTACACTAGCCTATCCGGCTGTCATGAAGGAGAATTGAAGAAAGCGAATTTTTTTCTTGCTGATTCACTTGGTTTTTGGTACAAATAATGTATTTTTTGGTTTTGTTTTGTTTTTGAAAGCCATGTTACTATATATTATATCTGACTATCTGTTACCTTTTTATTCCGTTTTCAGAATGTCCAGTGTTGCCCCCACCGTCTCATGGAACAAAATATGGATGTCCAAAGACTGCAACATATTATGATACAGTCTGTCAGTTCACGTGTGATAATGGTTATGTAGGATCTGGTTCTCATTTAAGAAGATGTCAACGGAATGGAACTTGGAGCGGGCAAGACTTTGTTTGTGAAAGTAGGTTTCTACAGCTCAAGGAGGTCAGAAAGTGTTGCTTTTGATTTGATGCAGCATTAAAAATGCTCTCGTCCTAATGTTAGGCAAGTACGAAGTATTAACTAATAGCTTTGTTTCTTGTCTTAGTGTGTTGTTTGTTAGCATGGATGAGTATAAATACGCATAATCCCCTAATTAAAAAAAAAAAGTGGTTCCAGCCTCGCGGTGGGAAAATTTCCACATCAATTATTTGAAACGTTTTAAGA